TAGAAGGCACGGGCGAAGATGTTAAGTTCTAATTAATGGACTTAGAAACGCCCATGTGGAGGAATACGCAAAGGGACCGATAGTATTTCTTAGATGAGTGAAGTGGCGCTCGCAAGTTTCTGGCCCTCCGGTCGTTCGTTATGATAGGGAGCGCTCGATACGAATAGCGGCATGGGATGGCGCTGCAACGCGATATTCCTTCGGTACCCACCGTGCCTACATGGACGTAAACAATTTCTGTTTTTCATACATGTTATTTATACATCGCAGTTTTTGCGTTAGTTTACCACATGAATATATGTTGAAAGGCAAATGATGAGGAGAGAGTTTTATGCTAATTTAAGTGTGTTGATTTGCTCTTATTCATTACTTATTCCCACAGTATCTGCACAAAGAAAGTAATATCTATACTTAAGGTGGCCCATTTTCCGAGGCGCATAAGGCGGCCGCATTACTGTTTCCTCCGTTAGCGTATCACTACTAGCGCTTTCTATCAGTATTAGCTATTACCTTATATTATAATAGTTACTTGCAATGATTGCGCAAGCACCAACACGTTATATAATAACTAGATAGACAATTTCAGCAGCGACGGTACCTGCTAATTTTTCGTTCGCTTTAATTATTAAGTAACCAAGTGTGTCCGAGATCACAGCATGATCAAATGCTTTCATGAAAAAACATCAAATAACAGACGCCGTGCCAGTTCGTGTGTTGATATATGTACACATTTTGGGCCTTCTTGATCTCTTTAATAATCCGTTAAACTAGCTTGAAGAATTCATATCATAAGCACTTGACAAAACAACAAATACGGCCACGTTTGGCTCTCTTCTATTGCCAAAAAGCGCTTACTACATGGAAACACATGCGGCTACAGCCAAAATGAAAGGACAGCTCAAAACGCAGCTCAGGCATGCTAGTAGTTCTGGCACGAATAATTAATTACCTCTATTATTCATGTTTTGTGTAGTAAAACCTAACTATATAATTTTGTTCCGCATCGATTTTTTCACGGAAACTTGCTGTATACAAGTATTTTCACTATAATAATCATAGCGGCTCGCATATGTGTACAATGTCAAAAATGCGACACCCTTATCCTACTTGTATTGCTTCTTCTATTGGGAAGCAGCTGTGTTTTTGGGAAGCTGCTCTGTTTTTGGGATCTGAGCAGATGTGGCTTTGAATTGTAGTTCGCCATGCGCCTGCCCAAGGCCAGATCACGATTCAGAACACGAGAGAAAGAACCTTTTACATTCACCCGCCCTCTCTCATAGTAAGAGTTCGGCCTCTATTTTCGCTGTCTCGTCGTCCCGTCCCGTCCCTGTTCCGCTAGAACAATCGGAACGCGCGAGGCGCCGAAGCGTCGCTGCTTCGAACTCCGAGCTGTTGCGGCAGAACTCCGCTCTGACAGAAGCTGGAAGCATGAAAAGGGGCGTGAAGAGACAGCAGCAAACGCATATAAGTCGTGTCTCCATGGATCACGAAAGCGCGGACGCAAGCGAATGTCTCATTCTCCTTTTCTATGTTGTGTACAGCCTACCGACTACCAGAGGGGAAGAATGCAAGATATCCGAAAACAGAGACGAGTATTAAAGAAGAAGCGAGGAGCGGGAGTTTTAGCCAGGCTTTCTATGTTCTGCCAACGTTGGGAAACAAGAGCGCAATAGATCGTGCTGAGTCGTTTGCTCTCGTTCTGGTGTTGACCGATAGCGTTGGAGAATTGCGTTCTTCTGACGGCAGGCTTTTCGTCGGTACCATCCTGTCGCCCTTCCATATGCTTGCTTATCAGTGCACGTTGTGGTCCGCACTACTGTTACAAGTGGTGCAAAGACTACTAGTTAATGCACGAGGCGATTTTATGGCACGTTAAATTGTAGATGGTCCTGCCCTCGGTATTTTTGAGGCGTGGTCAAGCGCTGTTCGTCTCGTCAAAAAGAGGACAACAAGAAGCACCACTGTGCTGGCGCTGGGCATGAGCACCGGATTCGTTGCTAACGATTAAGCTCAGACCGATTTTCGCTGTCGTTAGTTGCATTGTCAATTGAAAAGTTTACGAGAATAAAGGAACCGAAACCGTCACGGGTAAAGGTAAAGAATACCATAACACAGAAGAAAAACCAGGGGGCTAACTAGCCTGCTTCATTCCACATAGACGAAAGAGTCTCAGATATAAAGATGGTGCACGGGCATGCGGAGATCAATGAGTTCTTGCACGAACAATGCACTCCAGCGAAAGCGACCTAATGAGGATACTATGGGTCGACGGGCATAGTCTCGTCAAAGGTCCTAGTGAAGACTTCGTCTCTGTTTATCAATTCATGTAGAGAAATGAGGGAAGACACCGAGAAAGGGTCGTCTCTATCTGTTGATTATATCTACTCGTGACAATATCGACCGAGACCGAAGTCGGGATTCATGGAAACATTGTTTAAGTGGATGACATGTTTTCCCAAGTAAACGCTCTGTCGTAGCTAAATTCTAATCTGATAAAATACAGAAACCCGACGAATCAGGCGTAAGCTAGTATAAATTGATATATACAATATCAAGATCTGCAGCTAATGAACGCTTCATTGACCGTTCGAATGGTATATCTGTTGCATGAACATGGGTAGCAAGTAAGTCTAACAAGCAAATCCTCGATTTGTACCTCTCAGTCTCAAAACTAGTCACGGCACAGCATCTTGTTTGCACTTAGCAAATTCAAAAGCTTCAGACCTTTACAAAAAATTCAATGGTCGTTTACGAACGTTTTACTTTCTTTATAATCAAGTAATATGAATAATTCCAACGAAGCAAGAACTTCAAACGATTTACGAGCAATAATAAACGTTCTTTGATTCTTTAAGGCATTCCGCTCATAGCAGTTCTGGAGGAAAGTTTGAAGGGAAAAAACTACAGTTTAAACTAGCCCTATAGGCGAACATAGCTGTGACCTCGCGCTGTGGCCGCCGTTCGGCCAAAAAACCCTGTCGACAGTGGCTTAACAATGGCTCAAAATGACGGCGGATGAATCAGCTTATTTCTCGTCTCAGAGAACTTAATTAGCTATCTGCGCTCAGTTGCAAAAACAAGCTCGTACATATTCTCTTCCGTGGCTTTAGATAGCCATGGCCCATACTTTCATTGAAACATCCATTGGCCTCACATCATAGCAGCCTAACTTTCTTTTCCACTCTTGACCCACCACCAGCAGCATCATCCTTTCCCCATTCTGGATCCCCCACTATTATTCACGCTCCAATGAGTGTTCCACCCGGGTTTTAGTCCCATCACTTAGGCAGTGCAGCTCTGAGCATCTCCACAGTGGCTATCATTCCTAGCCATCTTTCTCCAATGTTCTCGCAAGTCGATCCATCCGACAACGCATCCATCGTGCTCTAACCACATCTCAAAGCTGTCGTAGAGCCCCTCTACTCGATTTCGTTCGCCGATGCCCCCTACTCGTTTTTATCGATCACGGCCACTGACGGGCAATACGGTTTTTCGTTCTGTCGCTTTGCTCAACGCTCTGTTCGCCTAACAGTTTCCGTAGCTCGTAATCTTTCGAAACACAAGATCTCCGCGTACATATCGTACGAATACGGGGTCGCTCAAACAGCGCCCACGGTAGCGGCAGTTTAGATACGAGGGATGCTCGAAATAATGCGCGGACACGGAATGGCACGGTTATTGCAGCGGGCATCTCCAAGCATGGGAAAGAGCTTGGGATCGGTGCACAGCTCGTCCCGATCCGGCCATATACACAAAACTAGGCAAAAACCAGCCAAGAGGTCAACCCCCTCCTGTGGAGGGCCTGCGGCATAACATGCTGCTGGATCACTCGAAGCTCGAAATTAATTAAATACATTTAATACAAATTGATCGGGATACGAAATTTGCAGAAGATCTTAGGAAGTGCAAAGTTATCTGAACAGTAAGAACGCTAAGAAGAATAGATAGAGCTATGATATTATTGGAATAACAGAAGACAGACGTAATTAAGGTACTGCCGAGGAAAGCGAAAAAAAGGAACGGGCGGAGTAATAGAATTTGCAGAAGATGCTTCTTGTAGATAAGATAGAAGGAGGACAAAGATGTGAGGCCATTGAAGAAAAGCCCACTTGAGGTGAGGTCGTGGCTTGGAAAGTAATTTCAGACAAGTGTGCCCATGCTAATATTAAAGACCCCCTGTATGTGTGAACACTGAGTGAAAATATGCACGAATTGGCTTTAGGGTAAATGCAGCATGTGGACCGCTCAAAAAGGCCAAGACACACCGATATATTTGGGAGCTGGCGTGGTTAAGAATAACCGCTATGATTCGACAAGCGAGGCCAACGATGATAGACATAAAAAACTTGCTTAGCGTATGTCCGTTAAGCTGAATGATACGTGAATGTATATACGCTATTGACGGTACATGCTAGTACATGGTTCTTTGAGATTATGTTATCGGCAGATTCAATAAGAAAGAAAAAGAAATAAGAAGTTATATGCGCGAGAACGTTTCAGATATGTTATGTATACACATTGCAACGGACACAAAAGGGAAGGTCACTAATTCAAGACAGAGAAAAGACTTTTGCTAGATTTAGTTGTAGTTTATTCAGTGTAGCCAAAGCAAATGTCAAGCATTATTAGTCGATAAAACTGATCGACAATTGCGCGATTTGCTCGTATCCAGAACATTTTTTTTTAGGTGCGCTACAAACGGCTAAAAATCAAAAAAAAAAAAAAAAATAGGAACCCGTGCGGAAAAACAGCTCATTTGAATGAAAGTGAATCAGCAATTACAAGATCGATTCTGTTTACAGATATAGATAGAATGAGACACACAGCCGACACCTCGTAATTGATACCTGGATAGTGCGTCATTCTGAGTGAAGTCACCAGTCGGCTTCGTTATGCGGCTTCGTTAATAGCATTAGTGGTCTGTGCTGGTCGATGATGCATGAAAACTCTATCGCAAATTTCACACGTTTAAATAGATACTGTGAAGGCATCATACTCACGTCTATATGAATGCCCGGCGGTTCGAAGAAGTCCGGCTTGTTATTCGAATAACTGTAGAACTCGGTATTGTTGAAGTACCATTTTACTGCGTAGAAATCGTCTGACTCGAGGTCGTACGAGCAATTGAGCCACAATGAGTCGCCGACATACGCAGTCCGTGGGATATCAAGGCGGTGAAGTCGCAAAGTCTGTACCACGTCACTGAAACCTAAACCGATAAATATAAATGTATAATAGTTGGTAATATAGGCATGCCATAGAAACACAATCTAGGTTGACGCATAACGGGTACACTGCAAACTATTTGTAACTATTCGAAAAAGCTCGACTGAGATTATCAGACTAGTTAATCTGATTAGAGCTAACTATGTCGACCGAATTATGAACCTGACATAGTTCATTTCATTAGGAGGGCCTGTTTAAGTTACATTCTTAAGGATATTAAGGTTCAGTTAAGGGAAAATCATTCCTTTTTCTAGTACATTTTTACAGTCATTTCTTATAGCAGGCACCCTAGGCAACTTGTCTTTCAGGTGGGAAGCGAGTGCGACGACGGTAATGATGATTACTATATAAATAATGCAAAAACGCTCACAAACGAAATGACTTTTATCTATAAAACGATATTGCCTTCGGTGTGGACAAGGACACGTCCTATCTGGGACTGTTGGTTGACTTTAGATGGATGGAAGCTACGTATGATACAACCTGATCACTCGATCGTGCGTATTGGCTTGTATCAACAAATACTTTAGGACACTTAACCATGCTAAGGACTCCTTTACCAATGTACTGATACGTACGAGGGACAGTCATACTAAATCCAACATGTGCTAGCGTCTAATTAAGATCACGTTGAGCGATTAAGTTAGCAAATATTTGTTTGACCATTAGCATAAGGCACAGGCATCGCTTTTTTCCAATTGCAAAATTTGTCGACAACACAAATATAAATCTAACATTTTCAAAGCTTGAAAATGCGATTGATGTTTTATATGTATTGCCTAAACGTAGTTTCGTCATAGGAAGATTTGACATAGCTCTCTGTTTATTTAGCGTGCTACAACTAATCAGCCACACGACACACATAGCGTTACTTACAGTTATGAGTGTATAGAGAAATCCCTATTCCTAGCTAAAGGTAAACTTAGAACTTTACACATTGTTTACACGATTTTCGAACGCAGGACACTCGTATGGAACTTCATTAATGCGAATCTCGGAAGGCCACATGGCGGTTCCCTTTCGTCCTTATCTCCATACATCATCTATCCAGTAACATTAGGACATGTTACAACTGTATCGGTACGCTCCATCATCGAATACTATGCAAATAATATCCGTCCGAAAACGCGACGATTACCAACTCTACTGACGCCGTTCGGGAAGCGACACTCAGCCGGTACGTAACTAAATCGAATTACAACACCCGAATCTTCACCGCGCGTTGGCCGGCCCTAAGTTCGTTCTGAGTACTCAAAAAATATCTATTTAAATTCATGAGTCTCGGGGAGTTTTTTAAACACAAATTTTATGTTCAGTTTACTAACGAAGTCGCACTTTTGTCTGTTACAATAACGAGGAAACGTGCCATTTTTAAAGACGATCTCTTCAAAAATCATTTTATATAGGTAGATATTAGTAGCTCATAAATGAGCCTTTACGAAAGTTCCGAGAAGAGACTATACCATCATGCAGAATGTAGCTATGAAGAATGGCCTATATAATGTCATCCGTTGTCGTGAACTTACGAGCCCCACCGGACACTCTCGAAGATCTCCGGTACCCTCATTTATCATGTCAGGTCCGTCATATCGAGGATTGAACAGGGTGTGAACGGGATGCCTAGATTCCACAAGCGGCACCTAGGCGTCTCAACCTGCAGAAACTTGTTGAATAACGTATTGCGTTTAATTCCGTCAAGGCTATAACAGCTGCAATGGTAAGAGCCACTGCAATTGAAAAGAGAGGCGGAGCGTGACCGAAACGTTCTTGTATAACGCGGCTACTTGATGCTATCGGCAGATTTTACTGTTACCGCGTTTTACAGGCTCTACGCGGCTTCAGCTACGAAATCATGGCAAAATTTGAGAGCGCTATACGCTACAACGTAGACAGACTTGCTCCACCGGCTATACAGAGCCTTATGTCTAACACAGACGAGCGATTTTTGTGGAAGTTGCTTTCGGTCGAGCTTTGCGGATCACTGGAAAATTCTACTCGCAGACTAGAGTCATGCCCATCTGTTAAATGTATCGAGCAGATATCCCAACGATGATTCGTCGAATCTCAGCTGAGTGTCGTTTTATTCATTGGTTGTCATATTCTGGGGTCAGCAGAAGGCTACATTCAGCCTAAATACGATGCGATCTGTACAGCAGTCGCCCGTAGAAAGGGTTTTCGTACGATTTGGGCGTGCATTGCGTTGTAGTTACCTATAGTAAAGGCGTACCCCTGACTTCTTAACCGTAGGTCTTTAACACACAGCGAAATTACCAAATCGACCACTCTGATCACTTTTAAGTCAATTAACGATGTTTTTTTTGTGTTAGAAGGTACATGCAGTTTTCGTGTACCGACTTGCGTCATTTACCGACTACCCTCGGCTACAAGTTATAATCTAAAAAATGCACGTAAAGTTTTCTCTCTGGGCTCATTTTGATTTCGTCTAATTCATCTTTGCGTTCTAAATTAGTTTTGTTTGGTTCTGCACGCATAATCCCGTAATTAGTGCACATGTCTCTCAGACCTAAATTGAAGTTGTGCCCATGTCGTCGTCGTCGTGCCAAAGATGCATACTTCGAACACTCGCTCGTAATCGGCTGTTTCAAGGCCCAAAACGATTTCCAACTCTATACATTTATAAAGAAATACGTCTTTGTGCATTGTAGTTGGGCTGACTAAAATCATTTTGAGCACAATCGATGACAACGCAGCACATTATCTAGGGCATAATTATCCACGTTACAAAAACGGACATATATTAATTAGAATTGATCGTGCGTACTCATACGACAACTGCGACTCAGAGAATCACGTAAAGTTAATTTTACGCCAGATCTGATGGACCAGTAGCACGAATAAGCTACAGTCATAACCCGTAAGTTATAACTAATTTCTCCGCAGTAGATCTATGCAATGGAGGCAAATTTGGCTTGGTAGTATCTTTGGGCTAGATTGGAGCAGCGTTGTTCTACTTTCTACACAGAGCTTTAGGTTGGTAGCCAGAGCTTATCCATGTACAGTCTGTGGTCTGAATCTCATAGTCTCTAACAATGATAATAAGCTTCATGTGGGCATATAGTTCGAATTTCGGCGCTGGCTTTCTCTCGCTTCTCTA